TGTGTTCGTGTGTGTGTTCGTGTGTTCTCTATATGTCTGTACATATGTTGGTATGTTTGTGTTTCTCAGTGTTTGGTTTGTGTTTTTTTGTACATCTTTGTGTTTTTATAATGCTGTTTAAATTTTGCATCATATTCTCAGTTTATACTGTGTGTGTGTGTGTGTGTGTGTGTGTGTGTGTGTGTGTGTGTGTGTGTGTGTGTGTGTGTGTGTGTGTGTGTGTGTGTGTGTGTGTGTGTGTGTGTGTGTGTGTGTGTGTGTGTGTGTGTGTGTGGAAAGAATAATGTCCCGTCTGCTGTGTTTGTTGCCCCAGTATCACATCCACACGTCCTCTGGGTGTCAGTGTTTGTAAGCAGGAGATTTATAAAGGAATTGAACCGGGTTCCGTGTGTGTGTGTGTGTGTGTGTGTGTGTGTTGCGGTGTATATGTAAACCTATCCAAGCACAGCGAGGGGAAATTTCAGCCCAGGTATTGATTTGGTCCGGCCTGTTTCAGGGTCACTGTGATGTCAGCGTTTGTATTATTATTGCTTTTATTGTCTGCTGCTTTTAATTCAACACAACAAGATGACATCAAAGCTCATTGATCGCTGTGGATAGATGAGCTGCTACATATCACAATAACAATGTGCAGCAGAAGGAAAATGGACTTATATATATTAACTTATATATAAATGTAGGAATTAATCATAGTGCAACTGATAATTCCAAAAGTTTCAATACCATCCATAAATAGGTCTTAGTGCTGCACATAAGATTCCACTTTTTCTTCACTAAGTAGAATTAATAGAAGTAAATGAAAATGAAATGGAAAAAAAAGAAGTAATGTATGTTTAACTCACTAAATGTATTTACAGTCTGCTATACAGGCTGAATTAAAGCCCCCCTCCAGTCAGCGTGCTGTTTGATGTCTGTGCAGAGTTTGACTCTAGAAGGATGTTTTCACATTCATCTGCTGAAAGTGGAAAGTTTCTCTGTGCTCACTGAACATCTGATTTTAAGGGGCGGGGTCTACCAGCAGGATTTGTGACATCACAAATAGTTAGGAAGTCAGTCCTGGTCCAGTATCAACTTGTACAGTGTGATGTAGAAACTTGAAGCCACCAGTGCACATCCACTGAGAATGGACTTTACAGTGAAGGAGGAGACATCTTGTGTCCAGCAGGAAAACTTTAGAAATCAACTACATTTGCATATTCAGAGATTCTGGAAGTTTTAATGACATAGAAGGATTTTTTAGAAAACACATGTATTAAGTATACAATATATATTTATATCCATAATCTCATGAAATATTATAAAATATGGAAGCTCTTAATTTAACATGTTAGCAAGCTAACATCTGCAGCTTCTGTCTTGTAATAGAGTACTTTTCCACTATGTTTTTACTACTTTTACCTCACTAAATGATTTGATTACTCCCTCCAAGATCTGTTGAAATCGTGGGCTGTGTAAAAAAGGCCTTCTCTACACAGGGGGAAACAAGACAACATGTTTTTTGAGTTTCTTCTCTCACTAACACTAAAGCAGTGTTTACCCATAGACCTTTCACAACTGTCAAACAACTGCATGGAAATTGAATTAGATGGAAGTCATAACATGTTAGTGAGACCTGTCCGCTAGCAGTCTGATTTGTATCCACTTTGAAACTATCACTTGTGTTTAGCACTGATAAACTTATTCAGATCAGCTCCTATTTGCTCTGGTTCATCATGTATAATCCAAACCACAGTTAGAATGACTTAAAGAGGAACCCTACATAGATTCTCCTGTACCATTGACTTTGATACACAGCAGGGCTATGGATATGTACTGGCACTACACACAAAAACACACACTCATAGTGGAGCTGCTAGCACGGCTACAACACAGATACCCACACACTGACTCCCTCAAAGAGACATAAACATGCTTCTAGTGATAGTCAGAGCTTAGGGATCCTCTCTCTCTCTCTCTCTCTCTCTCTCTCTCTCTCTCTCTCCGCTCTCTCTCTCTCTCTCATTCTCATTCACTTTCTAGCTGCCTGTCTGTGTACATGTCCCTCAGTGTGTCTATCTGTCTACTAAACTCTCTCTCTGATCGTATATATCTGTCCTGATCTCTCTCTCTCTCTCTCTCTCTCTCTCTCTCTCTCTCTCTCTCTCTCTCTCCCTCCCTGCCTGTCGCTCTGTCACTCAGCCGCAGTCCTGCTGCCTGTCTCTCTTTCTGTTGGTCTGTCTGTCTGGGCCGCTCTGTCAGGATTACATGGCGTCAGGTTGGCCAACATGGACGCCGGTGGTGGGGAAACAAAATGTTCCTCTCAGCACAAAGCCGCTCTAATCCGCTCTCCTCATCCCCCACAGCAGAGCCTGATTACAGAAAGCTGGTTGGTCGGCATTAAGACAGACAGACAGGCAGGCAGGCAGAAAGATGGACTGACGGACAGGCAGGATCGGCAGTGGGTATTTAAGCCAGTTGGACAACACTGAATCTCTCGGTAGCTGGCTGGTTGACTGACTGATTAGTTTATTGGCTTGTTGGCTGACTGACTAATTAACCTACTGACTGACTAACTGACCCTTCAGCTTACCTGTTGGCTGACCGACTGGCTGCTAGCCAGGTTGCTGTCCAGGTAATTGACTCAGGGAAAGCCGGGCTGACTATCTGCTGATTCAATGACTTGCTACCTTTAATGAGTCAGTGGCTAGCAGACAAGCTAGTGACAAGGCTTCTGACTGTCTAACTTGATGGCTAATTAAGGCATGTTTTTTTTTTTTTGCCTGTATTTGTTAACATTTAGTCAAACTGGCACCACAGCAAATATGCCAGATTAGCTATTAGCAATATCTGTTTGCAAAGTACTCATAACAATCACTGCATTTCTTTGGTAATGAAGGAAATGTAAAATATAATGACTGCCAGGCAAGTTCTGGAGTTATAAGGAGCAGCTTTTTTGTATGATTTCTAAGCGGATTTCTATGTTAATTGAGTTATAATTCAAAAGATTTTTAACACAAATTGTCTGAGCGTTGTCAGGTACCTTAGTTTCCTCCGTGAGCGGTGTGTCACGGAGGCTCCAATTGCTGACCATATGATTGACATCGGGTTCAAATCAGTATGGGTGTAAGAAAATATCAATACACTTCAGTATTACTGTGTGTTGTGATACTGTAAATCTGGAAAACCTGCAAATTTACGGATTAGTTTTCCAGTCATGGAAAAACCTGGAAATAAATTGATAAACAAACATCCTGGAAATAAACGATGCCGTCCTGGTAAATATTAATAGCATTAGCCTCTCACTCTACATTAGTTGTTGTGGTTGATAATTGTTAATTGTACATGCAACAAACAATTATACTTTATACATTTCTTTTAATAGGTTTATTAGTATGATGATTATTCTATTATTCTACTTAACCCTTGTGTGGTCTACGGGTCCTTTTTGACCCGAAATCATTTTCGCCATATCATTATTAAAGGTTAATTCATAGAATTGCGTGAAATTTTCAGGGATTGTGTCCCTCTGCATCCTTTATAGAACTTGCTTCATAAATTTGTACGTGTTTTATGGATATTTATAGCACCTGTGGTCTTCCAGGACACAAATGGACCCGGCACACAAAATGGAGCATAATGGTCACAATATTGTCATTTCTGGCACAATAAACTCACACGTGCACACCCAGAGGCATTTCTCATACTGCTGTCTTTTACAGCATGATTGTCAGTCCCGATGACCCGTTCACACACAAGGAGACGGTGTAAATTCTGCAGTAACGACAACAAAACAAGTATCAAGTGTAGCAAATGCAATGCGTATATTTGCAAAAGTCACAGAACTGTGACCACACATTATCCATGATGCATATAAAGGCAAGCGCACACACAATCCCACACACAGGCACACAGAATCATAGAGACACACACACACACACACACACACACACACACACACACACACACAAGGCCCACAGAATCATAGACACACACTCACACACACACACACACACACACACAGATAGATATCATCTTATAAGGATGCACACACACAGAGCAACAAGCACCCATGCATGCACACATAGTCACACATACAGATACACACAATATTTGACGTACAACAGCTTGTGATTGAAAATACTGAATAAATGTGTTGTTGTTCAATGTGTTGTGAATTGACTGAGAAGTTATAACAAAACAAAAAAAAATTATACGTTTTGTCTATATTGGCTCTACACGGTTCATTTGTACCGGGTCATTTTTGACCCGGGAGGACCACAGGTGTGATTTTGTCATTGTTTTTGCTGCCGTCCAAGAATTTACAATGCTTTCAAAACATAAGTTTGACCAAAACTTCACATATCCCACTCTGTGGTCAATATTTTGTCAATATAACTATTAAAAAAAAGTTTCAGGTTTTATTACTTTTTTTCCACTCGTAAATGAGGCCTATTTTGTATATTTGACTAAAACTGAACATTATTTCCGGAAAAAAAGGTGAAAATTATATATCGATGTGTTGGTCTTGACTTGAAGTTAATTATTTTTTTCTACATGTCCTAAAAACAGTCTAATATCATCGGGTCATTTTTGAAAGTCGCATGGTTGACGGGAGGACTACACAAGGGTTAATTTGACACTTAACACTGTGTCTATTTGTAATACATAGTTTACATGCAAACATTTGTGGCAGTGGTTGTGGCTAGCATACATACTATAACAGAATGTGGACCTTTTAAAGCAGAATATATATTGCTGGTACATATATATGACACTGTTTACAATTTTAAACACTGTTTTAAACTTTGATTTGATTGAACTTGCAATTTATTGCAATATCTTGAACCCCTGTATTGTGATAGTTATCGTCCTTGAATAGATGTTGATTGAAATAATGCTACACCATCAAAATGATGAATTAACTAATCAAGTATCTAACTTGGTTCTTTGGGTTGTCTTTACAATGCCAAACCTTGTATTTGAATTGTGACAGTCTTTGTTCCTTTGTTTTGTCATTTCAGCCTTAACTGCCTACACGTACCTCACCATCTTCGACCTCTTTAGGTGAGTGTGTCCTCCTCTAAGGAAACATGATAAGTTTCTCTTACCAGCATTTTTCCCAAAATATTGTTCGTATCAATAAGTGCTGGGCGATATACTGGATGATACTGGTTTTGATTTCCTATATTATATGAACTTTTTAAATACAAGTATAGCAGTGCACAGCTGAAACAGTATTTCAGAAATATCTCCTTGAATACTTGAATATTTTCAGTATGTTATGTCACTTTATACTGTTTGAAAATATTTAGCATTGAAATGGAAGCAATGTTAAAGTTGTTGGCATATCTTTTTAATTTTTAAATTCTGTTTTAACTATGTTGCACAAAAATTGTTTACATTTGGATTCTTTCATATATTGTATAATTTTCTTGGGCCAAGAAAACCCTATATCAATCAAAGCCTTCAGTATATCCACTCCCGACAGTAGAATAAGCCACTATAAACCAAAATAAAGGCCTACTCATGCAAAAAATAAATAAATACAGTGAAACCCAAAATCTTAAATAATCCCATGATACAAATTGTGGTCATACCTCCCAGCACTAATATACATTTTTTGAACAAAAAGAAAGAAAACCCTAAAATATAATAAATGATCAATGTCCAGGAAATTTTCCAGTTACCCACTATCCCTAAAAATATTATTCTTGTGAAAATATTATGCATTAGAGCTGAAACAATTGGTTTCAGTGATTGGTTACAACAATTTTCATAATTGCTCATTTTGTCTGATAAGATAGTAAATCAAGCTGTTTCATTGAGACCAAGGGCATTTAACGGCATTATATTAGGCTCTGGGAAATTGTAAAGACATTTTTCATTACTTTCTTATATAGATAGATTTATAGATTAAACAATTGATTAATTGGAAAAGTGTTCTGGCAGTTGAATCAATAATACAAATAATATGTATAGTTCATTTTGAAGTGTAAAACGTATAGAAACACATTCAGATGTGAGATAAGTCTGCTCAGCTGTGTGGGGGTTTGATGTTTTGATGGAGAATTTCCACTCATGAAAAATTAAATCTGAGATTATGATGAATAAAAGATAAATTAAACAAGAATTGAACTGTAGCTGACCTCTCTGTCTCTCTTCCTATTTACTCTCTCCTCCTGTCCCTCCTCCTCCTGTCATTCTGTGTCTTTGTGTCTCCATCTATAACTTTCTCTTTCGCTGTTATCACCTTTCCTCTCTTCCCTCCCCCTCTCCTCCTTCAGTTTGATCACCTGTCTCATCAGTTCCTGGGTGACCATGAAGAAACCCAGTCAGGTCTACTCATTTGGGTGAGTTCACCATGGCGATCTGTTATATAGTGTACACAGCAATACATCACAGAGTTTGACCAGTCTCTGAGAAAGACCGAAAAATATGCTTCAGCCAGGCAATCTCTCTTTGAGAATGGAGCTGCTTTTAATTAATTGTATATTCACGTACTCTTTATATAACTGAAGAGTTTGTCAAATAGATGACGAATCAGCTCCTCTGATTATAATTGAAAATATCGTCCTTTTCCTCTAACAACATTAACAATCTGGCGTTTAAAGACCCTTTGCTATACATTTAAATCATGGGCTGTAGCTTTAATAGATAGATTTTTTTAGTCAAAGCTCCATCTGTGTTTGTTTATGTGCTCCCATTTACGGTGTCCCGTAACACACACAAACACACAAACACACGCACACACACACACACACACACTGTAAACACAGTGTATTTGCTGCTGACAGGTGACCTCTGACCTTAAGGTGTAGAAGAGTAGTGATCGAGTGGAAATCTGCTTTTCAGCTTCACTTGGCTCTTATAATGGTGTGTGTGTGTGTGTGTGTGTGTGTGTGTGTGTGTGTGTGTGTGTGTGTGTGTGTGTGTGTGTGTGTGTGTGGGGTTGAGTTTAAGTTTACATCTGTGTGTGTGGGTTTTTTTTTTTTTTGGGCATCACTACATGCATGTGTGTTCGTTTGAGTAGAGTGTGTGTGTGTGTGTGTGTGTGTGTGTGTGTGTGTGTGTGTGTGTGTGTGTGTGTGTGTGTGTGTGTGTGTGTGTGTGTGTGTGTGTGTGTGTGTGTGTGTGTGTGGACTGCCAGTTACAGAACAATGGCTCAGCTGCAGATTGCCAAGTTTAACCAGCAGCAGCTTCTGACTCTTTTAAACCCTGTAGCAGCAGAGCCGGGCCTTCCAGGAATTAGTCTGATCCCCTTCACCTCAACTGCAAGCCGTAGTAAAGAAAAAACAACATTTCTGGTTAGCTATATTGAGAGAATATTGTATCTACACACACATCCCTGCAGGCATTGCTGTAGGAAATGAACGTTTAATGGCGATGTAATGCCTGCATACTGACTTCAATCTGCAGATTTATTTAAGCCATTAGGCCTCATGAAAGAACATTTTCGTTCTTTCTTCATAAACCTCCCATCCTTTTTCCCGACTCCTCTGTTCTGTTTTTGTCATTGTTTCTTACCTTACTGGATGATCTCTAACCAAACGCGCGACTTTGGCAGCTCAAGTTAATGACTTATTTTAGTGTATCAGTGTAAGCGTATTCATTTTTACTGACGTTAGAGTAGGCAGTGGACCACTGCTGCTCTAAACCGCTGTGGAGAACCATGTATTCATATCGTGGCAGAGACAGACGATGATTTGAGTCAGTATCCAGTAGACAGCCGATTTTTTAAGTGGCGCCCCATGGATTAACCACAGGCTGTTGGCTGTGTAGAGCGTGACCTCTGACCCAGCAGCATGGAGGAGATCAGGCCAAACAGTGGGCGCCAAATGTTCGAAGGGAGATGGAGTGTGTAGATATTGTGTGTGTGTGTGTGTGTTCATCCAGCAGTCCCAGTAAACATAGACAACCTATTAACCTGTGGGTGTTTGTTCATTGGCTCATCGGTTGGACAAAGGTCTCTCTTTTAGTCTCACATGCACACACAAGAAAAAGGGACTATTAACAAGCTTCTTCACTCATACACATACACACACACACACACACACACACACGCACGCACGCACGCACGCACACACACACACACACACACAGAGGTCCACACTTACAGTATATCCAGATGCCCCGACCTCACAAACGGAATAGAAATGTGGTGTTTTTCCTAAATATTGGAACATAATTTATGTACAGTGTTTTAGTTGATATAGTCCACACACTAACATGTTCTATGTCATATTAATAATGTTCTCTTTATTATTATCTAAATATTTGGTATTTTAATGAGTCATGATAACACGGTATAATAAGACTGTAGTAGCTATTATGAAAAAAAAATAAATAATGATTAATGCAATAATGCTAAACATTAGCTGTTACCAGGTTCTTAAATGTGAGTACTGCTTTTTTCTTTTTTGTATGATTGTGAATGAAACAGTTGTGGGACACTGTGAACATGTCAAATGAATGTTAGACTTGTTTTTGGATCTTTTTTTTTGCAAACAAAAAGATCTACTTTGTCTATCAGTTAAGGCATGATAATTGTTGAATAATCTTGTTCATGTGTTGACAGTTTCCACAGCAGATTTTGTGTTTGCACCTCTAACAGAAACAATTCAGAAGGACTTTTCCTTAACACACAAAATATAGTCGTTAGTCATTAACTGAAACAAAAAAAAACAATAGTGTTTAAATTGCAGCCTCACAGTTTTTATGTCTGTCGCTGTATCTCCATTTTTCTCAGTATTAATGTGTCCTCATGTCACCCCTGTTCACCCTCTACACGTACGTGGTCACGTCTCTCCTGCGCTAATCCGTAATGTACTTCACTTAGTTCTGTCAGAAGCTCTTAGTTTAGTGGTTTCATGTTGCTGTAGAGCGACAGATCATCAGATCACTGACAGTCAGCGCCAGGTTTAACCCCGATAAGCCCAACAGACCACTCACTGAGACAAAGCTGCTCATCCTGAACAGACTGCAACAGGATCGACCTGTGACCTTGTCATAAGGTTAGAAGTTCAGCAACAGTTACATTCATGTATGGGCCCGACGTTGACATTTTGTTAGTGTTGTCTGTCACGTTTCACATATAAATAGAGAGAATGTGGACTGCTCTAATTAATGAACGCATGTATTTCTATAAATACTGAAGAATTAGGGGCTCAAACAACACGCTTGTCTCAGCGCACATCCTTTTTGTACATTTTAAGTGAACATTAATTAGTGGTTCATATAGATTTGATGGCCTCCATTGAGGCTGAGCTTTGGCAGTTTCCCCCACTGAACCCCCCCGCTCCTACGCTAGTAGTGTTTAACAACCCGTCCCCTGGGTTCCCAGTCCCAGGTACAGTCAGGAAATAGGACAGCTCACTATCTAGTGGCAGCAGCTAGTACAATCAGCATATGCAACTGTGCACCAGTAAGTGACCCCCAGTGTTACGACAGAGCTCCATGTTGCAACAGTCCCCTGATACTTTCTTCCCAGTGGCAAAGCACTAATCTTAAGTCAAGGTAATAATAGCTCTTATTTTCTGTTCCAATTACGTCTTGTGTTTTTCTTTTTTCTTTTTATTTTATGTATAAAATATATACTTATCTATCAGTATATTGTCTTGTGTTGTCTCTTGAAAAAAAAAGTTCCCCCGTTGTGTGATCAATAAAGTCTAAATCTTATCTCATCTTTAACATAAATGTAAATGTGGTAGAACAACGTGACATAAACCATTTGAAGTAGGTAAGATAATTATCAGGGCTGATATATTATTGGATGGTACTGCCAAATTTATATTAGTAAATTATTGCAGATGAATAATCGTTTGATAATAATAATTTATTTGTGGATTTTTGGATGTACGATACAAACATTTTTTTATCATCAGAACAGATTTTTTCTGTTATGTTAACTACAGAGCTATGGAATATTAAATCATCCATCTTGGCTTATTACATTTTAGCCTTTCTTACCGTCAGGTGTGCATAAACTACAGGTTATGATCTTCTTTTTAAAATAATAAAATGAGAAGTTGTTGGTTGTCAGTATTGGCCATGAGAAGCAGGTATTGGTTTTGGAATTGGCTGAATAATAATCGTACATCCCTACTTTGGAGTTATTGTACATCTTTGAGTTTATTTCCTGTTTTACATCTTCAGATGAAATAATCTGAGAATGCTGCAAATGAATGAATGTATCTAACATTGTTTAGACCTCTGTACCGTCCCTTTGATGAGATGCAGAGCTGGGCTTCCACAGAGCTTCAGCTGTTTTTTCTTCTTGTTGACCACACCGTGATAATCATGTCCGTAGGGCAAGTTAGTGGTCAGAAGTTGGTCAGTTGTGTATTTCTCTCTCACTGAAAGGTGATATCAGGCTATGTTCCTGCGCATGAGCATTAAGATTTCAACAAATAAGAATATCCTAAGGCCTGGTTGTTTCCCAACTGCGTCAGCTAGGCCGACGTTGAGAGGGTGCTATCTACTGTGGAAGACGAAGTACCAACATTGAGTGGAGCCACACCATGTAGTGGAAATATGGCTTAAAGAGCATTGTTGGTCTTGGAATAAGTGGATTGGTCAGGGATGAAAAGCAACCTCAGAGTGTTGTTGTGGACATTTTGTCCCAGTATGGATGACAGTGTCTCATTTTCTCTGCCTCTCTCTGTCTCTCCAGGTTTGAAAGACTGGAGGTTTTGGCAGTTTTTGCCTCCACTGTTCTCGTCCAGCTGGGAGCCTTGTTCATCCTGAAGGAGAGGTGTGTATGTCTCCCAAACACAAACACCCGTAGAAAGTGTAAACACACTTGAATCAGTGATTTCAACTTTAAAAGGAGACAATAAAGGACTAAATATGAGGAATGAATTCATCAAAATTAAACAAATCAGCACTTGGAGCCAGATTAAGATCCCATGTCCCACGCATCTTTGTCTGCATCTCTTTCTGTGTCTCTCTCACTCTGTCTCTCTCGATTAAAATTTCAATTATTTTCTTTGCGTGACTCAACGCAACAACACAATCAATATTTCCAAAGCAATACACAAAATACTTCCAATTGTTTCTCTCTTTTGTCTGTGTCTTTGTCCTCATTATTAATTATCCTCTCAGGGTGCATGTTTTTCTCCGGTCTCAGCTCTACTTTGCCATCAGACAATTTAAAAAATGCAATAATTGGACCCCAGGATATTAGAGCCACATCTGCAACAAAAGTTTTCATTTATTATAACCCAGATTATCATCATCAGATATATTAGCAATAATAAATAAAATGTAAAAAGTAGTAATACAGTGCTATAATATATGATATGGTGTATTCGGGTTGTTATCATACTGTTTACACTTGCTATTCTTTGCTATTGAATTCTACCGTATGAATGTTATCTAAAAAATATAGGTTTCAGGTTTATATCAAGTTTCATGTCTGTCAGGACATAATATTTTGTGAAAGTATAATCATTTGTTCAACCAAAAAAATCTTGTAACTGTTAAATTAACTGTTATAATAATTGTGTAATATTGTGAAACCGTGATATTTTCAGAGATGGGTATCATGCTGTGAAAATCCTATGCTGTTGCAGCCCTAGTAAATTAAGTAAAAAAACAAAGAAAAAAAGAGGTCTCTCCATAATTCACGGGAGACGTGGTTCTTCCCAGTTTTGAACCTTTTAACATGTAAACGCACTTCCACAGTCTAAAGATGCCAGATTTGAAGCTGTTGGGACATAAAGATCTTCCTTGGTAACACACACGAGAATCTGCACATTTCAAGACCAAATGACTTTCAATATCGTGTGTGTGTGTGTGTGTGTGTGTGTGTGTGTGTGTGTGTGTGTGTGTGTGTGTGTGTGTGTGTGTGTGTGTGTGTGTGTGTGTGTGTGTGTGTGTGTGTGTGTGTGTGTGTGTGTGTGTGTGTGTGTGTGTGAGAGAGAGACTGGTAAAATCTGTTGACAACTTTGTCTCTCAGCATCTGAGAACACAGTAATGCTTTAGAGGGGTGGTCATGGACTTACTCTTAAAGGGGAGGAGTGTGTGTGTCAGTGTGTGTGTGCGCGCGGGGGGGGGGTGTTAACAACTGAATTTTTTAGGGCTGTGGGAATGTCACTGCCTGGCTGTGTCTGTCATTGTGACACACACACACACGTACACACACACCTCCAGGCGCCCTGTGTGGGGTTGTCTTGCGGTCATCTCTTAGGGTAGGGAGGGGTACATTTCCAGAATAACAACACAATAACACACAAATGCGGGTCAAGCAGTTAGCACACTGCCTGCTAACACTGCCTGCTAACACGTGTGTGTGTGTGTGTGGTTTCGTATCGGGTTCAATATAGCTCAGTATAGCTGATACCAATGAGTTAAAGTATGCCTCAATCAGCCCCAATATTGATCTTTGAGATCTGATCGGGACATCCCTAGACTCTTGATGTATTTATTTTACTTCATAATGTCGCAAAAGATAATACTGACTTCTCATTACTGATTTCTGATTTAAAATTGCCAAATGTAGTTCTGATTGACAACTGTAACCATTGTTTTAAATTACAGGTCAAGGTATATAGAACTGTAGGTAACCATAGCAACATTATTGATGCTTCAGACTATATGGAACTTCGTTTAATTTGTTAAATGCACCAACCTACTTGGCAATAAACCCTTCTTTCTCTTTCTGATTCTGATTTCTGGAAATGTGCCAGAGTTAGCCAGAATCGCAAATTTTCCCCCGCAGTATCTGGGCAGGCAATAGTTGAACACATAGACGGTCAAGTATAAAAATGATATCGATTTTATTTTTGTTTTCTATACTTGTTTACTTACTTTGGCTGGTTCGACCATTAAGATGGTATTAAAGTGCATCCTGCGTGGTATTCAAAGGTCACAAAAAGTTTCAAATGTTCCTTGATGAACCCTGCAGAGACCTGGAAGTATCACAGTGAACATTTCTATCCCTCTTTGTGCTGTTGTCTTTGTTTTGCCATTTCCCTGCATGTTTGAGACACACACACACACACACACACACACACACACACACACACACACACACACAGTTGCCAACCCATACAGTGCCTGTCATGAATGGCTCAGTAGGGCAGCGGCACAGAGCGAGGAGACAGAGGACTGTGTGTGTGTACCATTTAGTTTTTTTCATGTATGTGTGGTGTTGGGAGTGCATGCTTGTGTGTGTTAATGTATTTCCTGTTTTCTCTCTCTGTTTGTTCGCTCCTTGTCTCCTTTCGTTCATTTCATTTGTCTCCATCACTGTCTCTCCAGCTCACTCATTCTCTCTCTCTGTCACACACACACACACACACACACACACACACAGCCAGAGTAGTCCCACCTGGCCAGTGTTGTTGACTGTGTTTGTTTCTGTTTTGTCAGTGTGGAGCGCTTCATGGAGCAGCCTGAGGTCCATACGTAAGTATTACCACACACACACACACACACACACACACACACACACACACACACACACACACACACACACACACACACACACACACACACACACAAACACAAATTCCCTCATCACGTTCTAAAATAAACAGACACAACATGATACACTCCTGTGTCCCCATGTAAAACCGCACACACACCGTGCCAGCTGTTGTCAGAACAGAACATCCCAAACATTTGGGTCAGACAAACAGACAGACAGAATTACGTAGTCAGGGAGTCAAAGAATCAGACTGACTGACAGCGACACGTTCATTGTTAATTTCACACTCTGACAGTGTGTATATGTGTCCACACCAGCAGAGTTAATTAAACACATAGAGACTGTGTTGAACACTCGCCTCAGGGTAACATCAGCTCTGTCGGAGACACAACAAATATTTTTTAACAGCTTATAAAATGCAATAGGAGAAGACCAAAAGTTGTTTATGTAAGACACACATTTTGTTGTTTATTTTACTGAAAAGTTTTAAGCTCCCCTCAAACTCTCAGTTCTTATATTCAGGTGATTTTACACTAATGATAACATACCTATAAATATTACCTTCCATTTCTGCCAATAGATCCTCCTCAATGTTACACACTGGACCTTTAAAGCTTCCTTGAAGAATTAAAGCAGCCTCAGCTGGAAACATCTTATCAGTGTGTAGAGACACCTGTGTATCAAATCACTTAAATGTGCTAAAATTGATTCCTGAAAGACAGAAAGCAGCATGTTCTCCCTCAGTTTACAACTCAAGTCTTATTTTCACAGTTCTGTCTATCATTTCTGTCAGTTATGATCAATAGAGACTGATCAATTCATTCTGTGGTTGTTAATCAATCCACTGATGAAACACGGGCTGTTGATTAGTAAGGCTTTGACTCAGACTCTCTCTCTCTTTCTCTTTCTTTCATTGCTCTTTTACCTCTCTCGCCCAGCACTCAGATTCATACAGGCGGATCACCTGCTTTGCTCACTCTTTTGCTCTGTAGTTTGCTTCCTCTCTCTCTCTCTCTCTCTCTCTCTCTCTCTCTCTCTCTCTCTCTCTCCTCCGTCCATCATCTCTCCATAATAAAACAGATTAGTGGCGGCTTTTATAACCTAAAACACAGCGAGACTTAAACCTGTCTCCTGTGACGAGATTACCCCCCTCGCCCCCCCCTCACTCCCCTCTTGTCTTTCGCTCTCACTCTCTTTTTCTCTGAGTGGATGCGATTGGACGGCATGAGAGACGGCCGCTAACCGGAGGGACAGGTGTCTGCTGAGTAGAGAGACAGACGCACACACTCTCTCTCTCTTTAATCTGTTCTTAGAGGGAGGTGCGTTGGGGTTTGGGGGGGTTTATCATCCAGTTATTGTGGCTCACTGTCGGGCAGCCCTTCGCCTCCCACTGATTGTTTGGACCAATTTTAGGCTCTTAAATGGATTGTCCCATGTGATTAGTGTATTGAAGAGTACAGTTGTGTGCTCTGTGTGTCTGTGTTGTTTGTGCTTACGAGCCGGGTTTGTTTGGTTTATTATAAGTGTTTTTGGTTATTTAAACATTATGACCCATAAATATAAATTACAAATAACACAGAAGACAGAATGTTTTCTGCCCTGAAAGTGTTTTATATACTGATAGGAACTAGAAAAAATCCCATTGGTGGTTCTCAGCCTTTTTTGAGTGCTGGACCCCTTTGTCTTGGACCCCACATGTCTTCTCTCTGAGGGTAGAGCTGCAAAGATTAGTTGATTAATTGTCAGCTATTAAATGAATAACCAGCTATAGTGATAATGGATTATCAATGGATAATCAATTAATCAAGAAAATGATTCACAGATAAACCCAAAATGAAAATAATCATTATTTATTGGCTCCACCTGCACATGACAAAAGTTTGGCGTCATATACGTCATTCCTGCAGCACTCCATAGGTACCATAAAGGTAGATTGTCCCACAATGCACTGCACTCCCAACGTCTCCACACTAAAGTTGTCTTCAATTATGAAGTGCACCATATGTTCACAGTAGGTTTGATCCAGCTGCTAACTGTTAGACAACCCTCTTAACACTGTGTTAAATATTTCTCCATTGGTGAATGCAGTGTATTATTACAGTCATGCTCTGTCTCTCTCTGCAGTGGTCGTCTGTTGGTCGGGACTTTCGTCGCTCTGTTCTTCAACCTGTTGACTCTGCTGTCGGTCAGGAACAAACCGTTTTCCTACGTCTCAGAAGGTACAGTCACCCCCCCTCACTCCCTGTTAACTCAAACAGTGTGTGTTTTGTGGCGATGTTACACCATCATACCTGATTTTTCGCTGTGTTTTAAACAGTGTTTTTAAGGAGGCAGGCAGGGTGGATTTAGTGATTTTTGTGTCTTTTGGGTTTCTCCTCTGGACAGTTGAGGATAGGTAATCCCCCCCCTCACTGGGGAACAGGGCTTTTGTTATATTTTGGGGGATTATTGAAGTAAAATTAAATGCTGGCTCACTGTTTTGTCAGTAAATAAATTACAAATGGCAGCAGTGGGATCAGAGGTTAGTCCCTCGCACACATCAGTAAGTTATAAAACCACACAAAGTTGTTTGGTCTTAAAATATGACAATATATGTTTTTCAAATTAATTTCAAAGATTATTTTTGGGGTGTTTTGGCAGAATAGAGGGACGGGAAATATGGCTGTGAGTTGACATGCAGCACAGTATGTATGAGCTGGATTCAAACCAAACATGTTATATGTCGGCACATGTACCAAACTAGTACTGACATTTTTGTCCTTCTTAGGGTTGAAGCTAACGATTGTGACAGCGTTTGATTAATTGTTTCGTAAAATGTTGGAAAATTTAAAAAAATGACCATCCCAGTTCCCCAGACCTCAAGGTCACACGTAATATTTTGTTTTGCCCGACCCACAGTCTAAAACCCCAAAATATTCAATTCACAATGACAAAAAACAGAGGAAATAACAGAAATATTGCTTGGTTATTGAATTAGATAATAAAAACTGCTGATGATCAGTCTTCTGTTAACAGACTAATTGATTAATTAAATAAAATATTGTTGACTGAGGAAAAGCCTCTTCTTCTCTGGTTTAATGTTTCCAGTTTAAAAGAAAAAAATCACCAGCTGCCATTCAGCTTCTGCATGACTTTAATCAGGCTTCTTTAATTCTCTGCCCCTGCAAAGTTTCCACAGCAGGACAAATGTCTCTGGGATATTTGTTTACAAAAGCAAGAGCAAGAAGACATTGCTAGTCCTGTAGTCGAGTCTGATGCTGAGAGATTAAAATGCAGCTCAATGGAAGAGTTAACGTAATTCTCCATTATCTCATCAGAAGAGACCTTAACCAAAGCTCCAACCATAATGACCAGTTTTTCTTCCTGTTGACTCACTTGGTACCATCAAACCCACCATCATGTCTTTGTGCCAATTTCAGACTATCTTTAATGTCAAGCAGACAGATTTGTGTAAACAGGATGAAGTTTCTTGAAATTAACTGCCTGTCTGTATGAGACCTTAACCTCCGTTTTGGTTAACAGAGCATATGAATAGATAATGAGTCAGTGTCATTGTGAACTCCCTGTATGTATAGATGGGTGCTGAATTCAAAAATCAGTAGTAGGACAGCACCTTACTTAAAGGGTACCTGTATTTTTCAACCTGGACCCTGTTTTCCCATCCCATAATGGGATATGGGGAGAATTGTTGTTGAAATTGTTCTAGTATCCAGAGAGGACGCTGCAGCCATGTACATCTAGTTATAGTAGGTAGGAAGTAAACTTACTGTCTGGTTGTTTGAACACCGATAGAACTGCTGTTTATGGTTAAACAAAAAAGGTTAAACGCCTGTTGCCAGTTATGTGTCTGCTGGCTGCACTCCAAATACTGCCCAGGTTGACATCAAATACCAAAGTTATCCTTTAAACTGTTCCTTCATTTATTTGCACAGACGTTTGGGATGTTGTTCCTCAGCCTGTGAACTGGCAGCAGACCGTATGTCTATAAGCATCATATAAACTAGAGCCCTGCGCGGGACTGTTTTCTTAATCCCGCTCCTGCTGTATTTCTGACCATTACCGGCTGCTCCCGCTATGTGTGTGTTCACTTCGCCTGCAACCACAAAAATGATGACCATTCGCACGCACACAATAGAGATTTTGTGTCTTCTTTTGTCCTGCAGGTGAAAAGACTTTCTCCAAATATCAGACTTGCCCTGCTTTGCGGGTTTTTGTAAAATCAAACTTTAATCTTCTTTTCAACTTCATTTATTGACTCCATGGTCTCCATGCAGTCTCTAATATAAACAGCATGTAAAGTTATGATTCCTCAGATTGAACAATGGAACATTAATCGTAATGGAGGGTGACTAGTAAAGTGAAGTACCTGATTAGAGTTTCACAAACTCTTTGTGAGGAAGAAATGTCTCCAGTCCTTACAAACCTAGTACATGAGCACAAACACTCACCTACATGATATACATACACCTGCATGAGCACAAGATAAAAATATAAAGACTAGTACCAACTTTACATGGAAACATAAAAACACATACATCAGCAATAACATTGTGAGCCCCTGGGCCCCCTGGTGGTCATAATGTTCTGCAGCCCCAGACCAACAAACTGCTCTGCACTGTGTGTTCTGACCCCTTTCTATCAGAACCAGCATTCACTGTTTCAGCAGTTTGAGCTACAGTAGCTCGTCTGTTGGATCGGACCACACGGGCCAGCCTTCACTCCCCACAAGCTTCAATGAGCCTTGTCAAAGCCATTTTTCCTGCTTCTAACACATCAACTTGAGGACAAAATGTTCACTTGCTGCCTGATATATCCCACCCACTGACAGGAGCCATGATTACCAGATAATCAGTGTTATTCACTTCACCTGTCAGTGCTCACAATGTTATGGCTGATCGGTGTATTATATGTGAGAGAGTAGAAACACATACACAAACACACACATATGTACACACTGATGCAGACTGGGAGGGAGGGAGGGAGGGCAGGCCGGGCCAATGTCGACCCCAGGACATATTAACCTCACTGAGACTCAGTCTTATGCTAATACAGACTGACTGAAACACACACACACACACACAGGCTGCCAGCCCCATCACACACACACACACACACACACACACTTTTTAGGAGATGAAAAAAGGAGGAGATTACAATCTGGTATAAAACATCCCTATCCAAAGATCCATCCTCCCTATTTCATACTCCTTCCTATCTCCCTCCAACTTTTCTTTATTCTCTTCCTCTCCTCGTCCCATCTCTCTCTTTCTTTCCTTCTTTCTTACTGTCTTCCTCTACTTCCCATCATTTCTTTCTGAATAGGACACAAATTGTCAAAATGAAAAAATGGAGGCAACTGTCGAAGGCCAGGAAAAAAGGTCAGAAGATGGGTGACAGAAGGGAAAGATCCTCGTCTCTCATCTTCTCCTGCTCCTCTCACTTTCCTCACTTGTTATCTCATCTCCGCTGTTTAATCCTCTCATCCTTCTCTCCCTTTTTTTCTTCTTTTCATTTCAACCTTTCTTTCCATTCCTCCATTTTTTCCTCTCCTCTCTTTTTTCTTCCTCTCCTCTTTTTTTCCTGTCCTGTGCCCCATTTCCGCCTCTCCTCTTCTCTCCACTGCCCCTTTTTCTCCGCTCCTTTCCCCATTTCCTCCTCTCCTCCCTCTTTTCTTTGTTCTCCCCTCCAACCTTTCTTCTCCTCCCCTCCTATCTTCTCTTCTCCTCTCCCCATTTCCTCCTCTCCTTCTTTATTCTCCTCTCTGGCTTCTCCTCTCTCTTCTCCTCTCTTCTTTACTCCCGTTTTATCCTTCTCTACCCTCCCATCTCCTCCTCTCCTCTGCTCTCTCCATTTCTTTCTCACCTCTGCCTTGAGTTTCGTCCTCTCTTCTCCTCTCCACTATTCTGTGTTTTCATCCTGTCCTCTACCCATTTGCTCCCCTCCTCTCCTCTCCTCTCCTCTCCTCTCCAAGTTTCATCCTCTCCTCTCCTCCATTTGCTCCTCCCCTCTTTCCTATTTTGTCCTCCTCTCCCTTTCTCTCCTCTTCCCTGTTTTGTCCTCTCCGGTCCTTTCAGGCTGACTCACTATCTGTATGAACAGTCTACTGATGAATTAGGTCAGAGAGAGAGAGAGAGAGAGTGTGTGTGTGTGTGTGTGTGTGTGTGTGTGTGTGTGTGTGTGTGTGTGTGTGTGTGTGTGTGTGTGTGTGTGTGTGTGTGTGTGTGTGTGTGTGTGTGTGTGTGTGTGTGTGTGTGTGTGTGTGCGTGCGCGCACGTATGTGTGTGTCAGCTGTCTGCTCTTGCATTCGGAGCAGTCTCAACATCACTTAACATCTGACATTTTGGGAGGGAGCGGCATTACTACACACACATAAACACACACAGACACTTAACTTTGCCAAAACACACAATATCTCTCACTCATTACACACACACACACACACACACACACTCTCTCTCTCTCTCTCTCTCTCTCTCTCTCTCTCTCTCTCTGACAGAGCGAGACTAAAAGTGCATTACGCAACCATGTCCCAGACAGTGGTAATGTAGTGTGCCAGAGGGCCAGGCGGGCAGAGAGACATGCCAACACACACTCACATGCACCCAAACACACACACGCACACACACACACTCACACTCAGAAACATCGTACGTCCTCCTCGTACACACAGATCATAAATAAGTCACTCTATTAAAATGTTTGTTTAGACTGACTCACGCTGCTAGCAAAACAAACAAACCCCCCCTCCACACACATACACACACACACACACACTCACACACACACTAAGGTATGAGCAGGATGGGATGTGAAAGGCCTTTGACCCGACGCAGAGCCTTCGGGCCCCACAGTGTCGTCAAACATTAAAGGTGGGACGACGCAACAGAGCGAGAGTGCTTATCTTTTTTTAAAAACGAGTGGGCGATACGGTAGCCCCTCCTTCCTCGCTCATCGTGACGGTGGGGTTGACTGCTCCTACGCGTCTCTGTTTGAATTCGATCAGAGTTTTGGTCTTGGATCTGAGAAAAACTTAAAGGAACAGTTCACAAAGTTCCAAAATTAAAAAATACATATTACTCTTACCTGTTGTGCTATATAGCCATCTAGATAGTTTTGGTGTGAGTTGCTGAAGTTCGGGGTATCGGTTGTAGAGATGTCAGCCTTCTCTCCAGTATTATGGAACCAAATGGCACTCAGCTTGTGGTGCTCAATGGCAAAAAGTTACTTTTGAAAAAGTCTTGTTGCATCTCTTTCCAGAAATCAGGACCTGATTACTCCAGATAATCTACGAACCTCGTTGTGAGTTGTTGGTGTAAACATTGTCAACTGATATATAACTGCTAAGAACTGCTGTACAGAAATATGAGGTCATTTAGAAACCGTTTGCCCACTAGAGAGCACTGATGTTTATTTTCCACATATAAAACGTCTCAGTCAGTTTATATGTTGGTCACATTTCCTTTAACTCTGATCAATAATAGTTTTTTTCACAACCTGCTTGTAAAGGAAGTTCCAGAGTTCTTCGCAAGTGAGAAATGTTAAGAGCTCTAGCATCTGAAGCATCACAGATGATGTTGTAAATGTTGTCAAAGTAGGCAAGACAAGGGAAAGAGACGATGCTGTTGAGTTTTTCAAATGTGCCGATTGGCGTTTTGAGCGCCAAGCCGAGTGCCATCTGGTTCCATTATTTTAGTGAGAAGATCTCCACATCTCTATGGCCAATATCTCCAAAACTCAGCAACTCACACCAAAACAATTTAGATGGATAAATAACCCTACAGGTAGGAGGGAAAACATGTATTTTGGATGAACTGTCCCTTCAATACTGCAGTTTGTGAGGTTGTTTAATGTGAAACTGCAGCCTTCCAGACGATGCTTACATCTATAGGACAGAGCAGATGGAGTCAGCTGTGAAATAAAACAGCTGTGTGTCTTAATATTTCATGCAGCATTGAACTAGAAAGATGTTTCTGTTCTTTCTTCCATCAGAAACTTCTCTGTTCCTCAGTTCATGTCAGACTATAGAAAATGTATACTCCAGGGAAGTATGTTGCTTATGAGACAACATGAAATCTCCACAAGCACACAAGTTTTATTCAAGTGTTTTGGATTAGACAGTTACCTTGACAAGAGCTGAAGCAATTGGTTGATTAATCGAATAAGTTTATCAAAAGTAAAATAATCAGCAGCTAAGTATTTTTTGGTTTTAATTAGCAACCACAGCACTAGATGCCACTAAATCCTATACATTGGAGTTAAACTTCTTTGGGGCTGCAATTGTATAAAACCTTTAACATCCCAAAATTCAAAATGGCAGGTTTTAAGATAAAAACTGTGATGTGTGAATAAAAGATGCATGACTGAATAAATATAGATGTAGAAATGTGACCATGAGTGCAGAAATGTATTGCATTTGGATGGACTTGAAACTTCAGTAAAGACTAGTTCCTTGCACCAAGAGAAACTCGAAACACCTGAGGAAATGGGGTTTCACTAATCTCCCAATTTACAAAGCATTTAGAAAAGACAGCAACCTTCATAAACCCCCTGATAGATTGTAGAAGCTCTGTTTATTTGTTGTTATTTGAAATCATTTTTTTCTTGGTCATTGAAGGCCTCTCTCTCTTTCTCTCTTTCTCTCTTTCTCTCCAGCGGCCAGCAGCAGTTGGCTTCAAGAACATGTGGCGGATCTGAGTCGAAGGTAAGAACATCTTCATCAATTCATCCTTTTTTCTCTCTGCCCATCTCTTCCTCTCATCCATCCTCTCTGTTTTTCAGCCTTTCTCTCTTACTCTCTCTTTCTGCATTGTTAGCAGATTTCGCTCTCAGGTAGGAACAGGAAGGATCCACTTACACTGACTCAACACACACTCTCTCCTGACAGGGGTATAAGTACCCACCCTGCGTGTCACTGCTTACAGTGGGAATCTGGGTGTCCATGTGTGTGTATATGCAGGCACATATGGCCTTTCTGTAAGGTCAAAGGTTGCCCTCGGTCATTGTGGTGGCTCATTGATTGAGCGTCTCAGAAAGAGCTGTAAGATCAGTTGTTGCATTGTTTCCCAAAGGGTACATACAGGAACGCAGACACATCTGCTCAGCTTCCCCCTGTTAACCTGAGTTCAAGGGTCAAAGGTCACAGGTCATTGTTATCATAATGATCTTTTGGTAAAACTACACTTTATCCATAGCTGACTGATCAGCTGTCAGCTGTGTGTGTGTGTGTGTGTGTGTGTGTGTGTGTGTGTGTGTGTGTGTGTGTGTGTGTGTGTGTGTGTGTGTGTGTGTGTGTGTGTGTGTGTGTGTGTGTGTGGCCAGTTCAGTAACACTACTGTCATGAAGGTCAGTGTCATTTTAAAAGCCTTGGTTCAGAACCAATCCAGATGCAGGCTTTTTTAGCTACAGGATGTGTCAGAGAGGTCATTGTGCAACTCCTTCGACTCCACAGAGCATTTAAGCTTTTTCTACAGTGCAAATATGTATATGGTTAAATTTGTCTCAGTATACAGAAAGTCTGTTGGTTGGACAAAACAAGACATTTCTGACATTTTATACCCATATTTATCTTTTCTGACCTTTTGTACACCAAACCCTTAACAATTAATTAGTAAAATAATCTGCAGATTACTCAATAATGAGAATAATCTGCTTTACTCCAGCAGCTCCATAATTTCAAACTTGTGTTGAAGCAACAAGCTATATTCAAACCTACAGAATATTCTTTTAATTGTAGTCAAGATCACTATGTATGACAGGCAGAATCTGGGGAAGTGTGCTTAAAAGTGTGCACTAAATACAAAAAGATATCTAGATTATACTTGATTTTGATATTTGGCTGAATATACTGTACAATATTTCAATTAAGTGCTCGAACCAGCAGATAGAACCGTAATGTACTTTTCAAGCCACTTTAGGGCTATAAAGTGAATGTTGGAGTGGTTCATCATAACTGTATCATAAAGTACAATATTTCACCTTGTTTACCAATGACACATTCTTGAGGTGTTTTCTGTCATATTTATCGCTCCTAATTTCACATTTTTTCTTGAATAAACACTCTGGAACAGATTGTTTCCCTGCAGATGTGAGGCTGTAATGTGTTTCTGTTCTAAGCTAGAAGTCTGACCACTGGACATTTGATATTCGTGGTTAGAAGCTGATACGTTGCACCAGAATTGAATAGCTCTTAAATTCTGTTGATGAAAAATGATTCCCCAAAGAGTTCTCTGGTTCTTGCACAATTTTTTGCCAGTGGGGGAGAAAAAGCCTTTAAAACCGGACTTGGTTCAGTAAAACTATTCAACCCAGGGTAAGAAAATACAAGTAAATTGTACATACATGTCAGATGTAGTGGTATCGGTGTAAACATTGTCAACTGATATATAACAAGAACTGCTGTACAGTAATGTGAGGTCATTTAGAAACCGTATGCCCACTAGAGAGCACTGATGTTTATTTTCCACATGTAAAACGTCTCAGTCAGTATATATGTTGGTCACATTTCCTTTAACTCTGATCAATAATAGTTTTTTTCACAACCTGCTTGAAAAGAAAGTTCCAGAGGTCTTCACAGGTGAGAAATGTTAAGAGCTCTAGCATCTGAAGCATTGAGATGATGTGGCAAGACAAGGGAAATATATTAAAATGTTTTTGGGTTGTTATCATGTAGTCTGATTTAGAAGTAGAAAGTAGTAGATTTTTTTCTTTTTTATAGATTTTCAAAGTAGTATTGGCTCAAAACTGCTGTCCAGTAAATATGTCAGTTTGCAGCTGGACAGCATAGCTTTTAAATATGCAGTGTGCCACATTTTACACTCAGTGGCCACTGTCATAGGCACATCTCTCTTGTACTGAGTACCATTCATTGTGTTAGCATTCTTACTTTATCATCTTCATTGTCACATTTTTTCTCGGAGAACTGATGCTCATATACTGTTGGGCTGTTGGATGAATGAGACTGTAGAAACTCATATGCATGAACATATGAGGAGATAAGCGATTTCTTAGATACTCTGTCACACTTGGATCTCATTTATTTCCTATTGTGATGTTCGGTCTTAACAACCATTAAATAGCAGCAGCAGGTACAATCTATAATGGAAAAGCAAAAAGAGCGAGTAGGGTCGAGCTGTAGCATGTGGTAGAAAAGCGGCTATAGTAACATATACACTGACTCCAAAGTAGACTGATGCTCAGTGTCGACTGTTGTGATAAATATTACATCCCACTGTGTATTCCCACATCTGAAGTGGGTGAAGTATACTCACACACATAGACACACAGAGTCAGCAGCTTAGTTGGTGCAGGTTACTCGGGGCGACAGCCTGGAGAGTTGTGCAGCAGAACTGAGCTGTGATTGGCTGAAAGGGCAGAAATGAACAGGACGTCCCAGCCTAGTTTCCAGTCTTTGAGTGTTTGTGTGTGTGTGTGTGTGTGTGTGTGTGTGTGTGTGCGTGTGTGTAAGCGAGAGTGAGACAGAGATGCTATGCCTTCATACGCGCACTTTGTGTCTGCATGTGTGCGTTTCCCAGTGTGTGCTTGCATATATTGTGTTTGCTTGACTGTGTGTGTGTGTTACTGTCTGTGTTGTAATAGCCCGTCCCTACTTAACCCCAGCAGGGTCTGGGGGCCAACTGGGTTATATAAAGCCTGCTGCTCTGTTGGCCTCACCAGCCAGAGGCCTGAGCTCTCTCTCTGTGTGTGTCTGTGTGTGTCTGTGTGTTTGTGTGTCTGTGTCTGTCTGTGTGTTTGTGTGTCTGTGTGTGTGTGTCATTGGGGAGAAGGCAGACAGATATTTAAAAAAAAACTGTATGACAAAGAAAGAAAGAGAAATTTAGCTGATTGTCGTTATCAGATCCTGATCCTCATTCTTGTCTCATTACTGTAATAGAAAGTGAACTCATTAGGTTAGTTTTCAGCAGATTTAATAAAGGAAATCATTGCTCTTAAACAAAAAGGTATTTTTGAATTCCCTTTGTCCTCACCTCCCTCTGGCATTAAAAAGCAGCAGTTTTTAACATTTGCATCTGGACAGCTTATCTGAATCATGTTAATGCAGGTGTAAATACATGCAGTGACACATTGCAGTCAGAATGTCAAACCACCCCCAAATGTGATCTGATCTAAGCAATGTGAGTATAGTTAGCAAGGCTACTGAAAATTAGCCAAAGGATGACTTCAGCTGTTATGTAACCCTGTCCATGCACGCCAAACTGATCCCTTCAGAGTGTCCTGCATCGCTTTGCTTCACCTGAGCAAACCACGGTTGTTAGTCCGCCATGCAAAGGCCCGTGATCCGATCTCATCCACAGAACATATACAAATCAGAGGGTAATGCCAGGTGAAAACTGGTTGTTAATCTAAATGAATGTACCATTCTCATTATTGAAAACAGACTTACTTACTGTGAGTTTTCTATTTAACCATATTTGTTTAAAGCCCCTACAAGGTACTTTCCTTTTGTATTGTTTCTGGCAGCCTCTGTGGACACAAGCGGTAGTGTTTCCACTGCCTCGTTTCATTGATTTCAAGGGGACTCTAACCAAATCTGACCCGATGGTAGGCATTAATATTATATATAATAATAACGACACAGAAATAGCCAACCTTCTCACTGATGGTCTTGTCTGTTTATGTAGGTCATATAGAGGCAACAGTATTAAATTGGTTGGTTTTATAACCAGTGAAAAAATACTTGTAGTAGGTTTATGAAAAATTGTCATATTCAAAAACCAACAACTGTTTAAAAAAATCTTAAATAAATTACATTATACAGTTATCATAGATGTTTAAATCTAGCGAAAGAATAAGTTTAAAGCTGCAGTCGGTAACATTTATAAAAATATTGTTTTGTCATATTTGCTAAAGCTGTCACTATATTCTGACAGTAGTACCTGAGACAGATAATCTGTAAAAGATGCTCCTAATGGCATTTGCAAAAATCCACCACACCTGAACAAAAACAACCCATCAGAGCTAAGAAAGACAGTTAATTGTTAAGTTTCATTCCCAGGTCATCAAAAACAAACATTTGGGGTTCCAAAGGTTCAGGCCACCTTAGAATGAGACTCAACAATCAGCTTTCTTAGCTCTGATTGGTTGTTTTTGTTCACATTAGAAGCACTTACAAGCATGTACTACTCTGGATATAGTGAAAGCAAATACGACAAAAAAATAGTTTTCATAAAAGTTACCTACTGCAGCTTTAATATTTAGGATGTGATCTTGTGTTTAGTGACGGTTTTGTGTCCCCTGTTCATTACTGAGTCCAGTGTGGAGCCAACAGACCTGAGTATCAAGTGTTTGTTCGTCTCTCTGCTTTAATCCATCGCTCTCTGTCTGCAACGTGTCTGGATTAACACACACATACACACACAAGGTCACATGTCAAATTATATCAATGCATCTAGGGGGATTATGGGAGCGCCTGGACTGTCAATCTCATCCCCAACTCTCAAATTTTCTTTTGATTCTTGCATTATGGCACATTTGGCAGTTTCATTCCGACCATTGTGTTAATAACGTCTGTGCTAAACTGCTGGCACTCAGAGACAGAGTGTGAAATACAACATATCAAGGCAAGTACCAAATGCTGCTTTCTACTGTTGGCTAACCCTATTTTGCAGCTCGTCTGTGACTTTAAACGTGACAGATCAGAAAAACAAGGCAAATCACCTATTTTGAAGAGTTTACCTGCATTTAAACAACCTGCATAATACTCACTAGTTTTGGTGTAAAAAGGGTAGAAGTAGAAAGATAATGCTACTGTGTATAGCTTCAGATGTCACAGTTATGAACAGATGTATGTGAGGCTGCGGAACTAAACATGAAACCGTAGTGTCTGCACGAATCCGAAGAAAAAAGAATCTTAAAGATGACGGTGCGAACCCATTGGCTCAAATGTTGTGACTCATTGCTCAGCTTTAGGAAACCGAGGCTCTGTGGGATTGACTGACTCTGTGGGTTTGATATGAACCCAGAGCGTCCAGCAGTGAATCACAACCTGTGCTCATACATCCCAGTAACATCACCACGGCCGCTGTCACACACTCCCAGCAGTCCTTCCATTATTCACCGTCTGAGGAGCCGCTGTAGGATCCGTCTCAGATGACATCATCACCACCCTCTGTCTCCGCTGTCCAGCTAAACGAGACTCTGCTTCAGATTCACTCATTAAAACTAAGCTGCACTGCATTAAAGAAATAACATCTGATTTTATTGTTAGGGCTAAACAAACTAATAGGTAGTGAAAAACTTTCATAACCCACACACATATTTTAGTTAGTCTTCCCCCGCTTTCTTTCCTTTTACGTCCTCTCCCTTACTCCTTTTCCAGTTTTCTGAAAGTCCTGCCCGTGGCAAACATGTGACTGTCTAAATGACATGTTTGACATTAATTGCGAGTTGACATCCATGTCACTGTTTTGTTTTTAAACATTATCTAATGACAAACACCTTGCGGCACCCAGGCACTGTGCTCCTCCTCATGTTTATGACAGCGCTCGACGCCATCCGCCGCAGTGGCTTCAGAGTGCTAGCCTTTGACGTATCGGAAATTCAATCTGACACTCAGCACGGGGGCCAATCCGCCCCGGAGATGCGTTCATTGACCCGTTAATCGGTTCCAGGAACGCCGGGCCGGTGTGTTACTCAGAGAGCATGCAGGGTCGTCTCTGTTTAGAGTTTTGGGGAATCAGTTGAATGTTTGATTTTCCCTGCAGGGCCAAACCGGGCCGAAGAATCCAAATTCACGTCTGCTATTTATGCAAGAAGGGGAAAGTCAGGAAAGGACATTTTAATAGATTTCTTTTCTTATCCAAGACAAATAGCTGTATGAATGGGGACATGATTTTATTTTTCAGAAGCATTGATGGGATGGACTTCTAGCTTTCTGTTAAGCCGAGGTCAGACAGGGAGACACAACAAGTTGAAACCGTTTAGAACGTTGCAGAGAAAAGTTGAAGCTGTATGAACTGATATGTTTTATTCTTACAACTGACATCTAAAATCTGCTTGGTCTTAAGACAGGTTGCTCCACCAGGATTAAAAAGTGTCATTTTAAATTGAAGAAGCAAAGGCATCGGTATTCTTACTCAAGTGTGACAGTAACCGGGCTGCGCTGCGTAGCATTGCATCATTTGACACGTGCAGCACACACTGCACACGGCAAAAATACATTTGCAGTACTATGGGATGTGAGTCAATTTCACTATTCATGGGACAGGACAGGAGAAAAAGTCAATGGGAGTTTGCAGGACAGGGATCATAAAAACAATAGATCAGTTTCATAAATATGCAGTTCTAAGATGAATAAACTGAACACTTCAATCAAAATCATTGCATTGCTGGAAGACTCAAGATGGGAACGGGATGGGACGGAACAGGAGTATTTTTGTGGGAGTGTGATGGGACAGGACTGAAAATCTGCTCCTGTGTCACCCTCTATCGTGTACCTCTTTGGCTCCATCTGATTTCTATGTATAATACGAGAACATTGATTTGAGAATTTTTTACTAGGTCATAGAAGATCATTCTTGCCTTTAAATCAACTTCTCTGCCAGCAGGATGATGTTGAGCCCTTAAAAAAACAATTTTACAGGCTCTGTTTTGTCTCAGTTGATGGAAGAGGAGTTATTGATGTGTGTCCTCAGTGACCTCGTTCAATTAAACTAACAGCAGTCAAGTCCCGCTGATTAAATCTGCTTCTCAGCCCGGGCATCCAGAGCACGCAGCTGTTGTTAAAAGCACGTTGTCACGCTGTGTCACGTGATGCTTCATCACGACAGCATCCCGCGTCCTGTCTTCATGTGTCACACCATGCTGCATCACATCATGGAGTCAGACCACATTGAACCACATCAGATCCATCACTTCCTGCTGAATTGACGCTCAATCTTTTGCAGCTCCACAGGTGCTGCTCTGTAGAGCACTCTGCTCCGAGGTGTGAAAATAGAGAAAAAAACTTCCCCACCATTATTAATGTGACAAAGAGATCTGATAATGTTAAAATGTATTCTTGCAGGTTAATGTAGAACCAGGAAGTTGTGATCAATTATTTTGATCAACAGTCCAAAACCCAAAGATATTCAGATCAAATATTCAGCATCTTAAAGAAGAAGCTGCAAACATTCACACTGGTGAAGCTGGAACTAGTAAAGTTTCCACATTTCCTAAAAATTACTTCTTAGTATATAATAATAATAATAATAATAACTTTAGTATTGTACATTTTTAATTCATTTGAAGTGCAATGGCAAACACTGTCACAATCCTGAGAAAATCATCATAACATTTTATTTTTAAACACTCTGTGCTCTGCAGTGTGTGCAATATTTAGTGCTGAAAGTCAGTGTAATTAGTCAGTGATTCATTTATTGAGAAAACATACCAAACTGGTTCAGGCCTCTTCAGGCTCTTTCAAATTATGATGCACATTTTTGACTATTGTTTAACATTGTATAGGCTAAATGGAAAAATAATCAGCTGTCAGATATTTAATACCGAAGAACCAGATGAACAAGAGAGGAAGAATAATGTTTTATGGATTAAGTGGGGATCCATCAGCTTCTGCAGACTGTTGCTGAGCAGGGATGATTACCTGGTCAGTGTTACAGCCCAAATTAGCCTTCTAAACTAAGACAAAATCTTCTCCAGTGCCACTTCTAGATCAGAGTTTGCACTCACTGACTTGTGAGACAGTAGAGTTGTTTCAGGAGTGACTTTTCTGTCTGAACTGTGTAGCTTCCTTCACTGTTGTCGAAGCAGCTTAGAGTGCTGTCTTAGACCAACAAAACATGAAACAAAACAACAATGATCCCATCAACTCCAGTTCAATTCCCCTAAAGTCCATTATGACGGTGTGATCGGGTTAAAGGCCTAATCCTAAAGACAAACATAAACACAGAGCTACAGCTTAGAGAGGAGGAGGGAGCAGATGCAGAAGCTGGCTCGTTTAGTTTATTGTTTGCACTGTTTACTGTAGCTACTGTTAATTTTATATATATTATATATATATATATATATAATACTTTCTATTTTATCTTCTATTTTATTTTTTATTTTATTCTTAAGGTTAGGGATTTTAATTTTAGTCTGATGTATGTTTAATGTATGTTTTGTATTTTGTATGCTACTGGATACTTGAATTTCCCTCGGGATAAATAAAGTAGCTATCGATCTATCTATAATATGAATTAACCTCTGTTATTATTTATGTTTCTGGGACTGGTTGACTCCAGTGTACAAACTATTGGTTGAATATTTGCCTTTGGCCATACTCTCGTCAAATTAAAAACAATTGTGAAATAAACAAAAATGAATCAACAGACAAAAGTACAAACACCTCCGGCACTTTTCCCCAGAAACCAAAAAAAAACAAAATATAAATTTTAGCGGAGAACTTGGAGATACACTCCAGTTCAATATAATTCAGCGCTGCAAACTACAGCCTCCAAAACAAGCATCTAGTAGAACACCTTTTTAAATCTGTTTCAACAATAACAGAACTTTATAACCTCGATGAAGGAGGATTCATTGTTGTATTCAATTCCATTAATTGTAGCTACTTGTACCTAATAAACTGGCAACGGAGCGTATTAATGCTAAAATTGAACATACTTGATTGAACTAGCAGTAAAGTAAATATAATGCTAGTTTTTTAAAAACTCAATGGGGCAAAAAAGAGTTCCTTTCCGTCTCCTGTCATTGATCTTTTAATCCACTCTTGGAAGCTATTAAATCCATCTGCTTCTTTAACTCTTTTAGCAGCAAACTAAGGCCGAGAAGAGAGGAAGAAGGTTGTTGATGGTTATTTATTCATTTGTTTTTTATAAATGTGTGTTGAATTGATGCTCATCTAAAAACACATGTTTTGTGTCTTGGTGTAACATGTTGTTCTGCTTAGGCTGGATGAAAAACAACTCAAGTGACTTATGTTTCTTAATTTGTCCAATTTTTTTTTTCAAATTTTCTTTTTGATGATACTTATTTAATTCACTTTGTATTGTGTTTCCATTTTTGAAGCTGAGCTGTAGACCATTTGGATTTGATTTATTGGGAAAGTCTGGAGGTGATCATGTGCACTAATCCCGTTGTGTTTTTGTTTGTGTATGTGTGTGTACAGTTTGTGTGGCATCATTCCAGGTCTGAGCAGTGTGCTGCTGCCTCGTATGAACCCGTTCGTCCTGATCAACATGGCAGGAGCTCTTTCCCTCTGCATCACCTACATGCTCATAGAAATCAAGTAAGAATTCATCTCCCTCTGCGGCTGGTAAATCCCCAAATTAACCAGCGTCCGTCACTGTTTAACCAACACATTGAAACCTTTGCTTTGCTTGGGTTTAGTGATGTCAGGTTTCCATCGCCACTGCTGGAAATTCCCTCTCTCTGCTTTAAACTGCCCTGATCTTTATCTGCACTGAACTGTAAATGTGTCTTGATGCAAAACACTGGTGTGGAAAGAGCATGCAGACATGGGACAGGAAATGAGACTCAGATTCTCTTAAATTGATGGCAAAAGTGAAGTGAAGTGAATCTTGTTCTTTAAATTATTTAGAGTGCCGATGATGAAAATATAAAAATGAGGGAGTTCCCCAACATGCTTCCACCGGCTCAGATTATGGAAAAATACAAACTATGGTCCCATACAATCATTGAGTAAGTCTATGTTACAAATCACTCAGCTTTTGATCACATCACATCCTCTGCAGATAGAGCTGTAGTTGTTTTAAGTTTCAGTTTTTACTGAGCACATTAGGGACTTATTGTGCATTTCGGTTTAAAAGCTGAGGTTCAAAGTTAATTCTTGAGCTTGGAAACAGCAGCTGAGAAAACGACGAGGTCCATTTATTTGCTCTTCTGGGGCTTTTTGTGATATTGCATAATCATAATCACTGTTCAGAAAATCTACTGTTCCATGACAACATGGGCAAACTCCATCTGGTGAGGAAGATCATGTGATAAGATTAAAAAGCTTATAAATGGACCTTGTGTTGTGATTGTTTTCTCAAAGATAAGAATTAAATACTGTATATTTTTTTGATGCCAAAGAAGAATGATCAAAAGTCTGTATTCACCTTGAATTCCTAATCTTAGAGACCACACACTAAGCCAGAACGATTTTTATCTTTTATTTTATTTTTTTTTAAACATTATTCATGTTGATTTCCTGTGCTGTGTGTGTTTGCTCAGTAACTATAATGCAGTTGACACAGCGTCGGCGGTCGCCATTGCTCTTATGACCTTCGGTACCATGTATCCCATGAGCGTCTACAGCGGCAAAGTGCTCCTGCAGGTAAGACGAACACATGTTTCTCTATTCGTATTTTGTAGGTAATAATAATAATAAACTTTTCTTATACAGCACTCTTCAAGCAAGCAGGTAGCTTGATTAAATGTTTTTGTTGTCTCTCAATCACAGACCACACCGTCCCACATCATCGGCCAACTGGACAAACTGCTCAGAGAGGTGAGTCAGTAATCTGTGTTACATCAGCAGTAATATCAACTTCCAAAGCAAACTTGACATCTGTAATTTGACTTACCCTTGGACACATTAAAGCTTTGCTCTGCTGTTATAAACCTCATCCTTTTAATGGCCATCCACAAGTCTTCTTAAAAATGGTCTCAGTAGGGTCTTAAAAAGGGGGATCATTTGTATTGGTCATGCTGTAACATCTACAGAACCAAACGGACATGGAACCAATCTCTATTTTCTTTCATATCCTTTTTTGTCAGTATGGACATAAATTAGATCTTAAAGTGCATTCTTTATTATCTTGAAAAGGTCTTAAAAAGTTTTAACCTGATGAAACTCTGTCAAACCTAATGAGTATTTGCCATTTTGACATGAAATAGTAGGGTAAACACAGGTGTTACTATTGATACTAATCAAGGTTCTATTCTCAGGTCAAATAGAATCTGTGTGCTTAATTTTTAGCCTGTAGGTTCTACTCTTGATAATCATTTAAATTAAAGTCGGCAGTATAAGGAATATAAATGTCATCCAGCACAGCTACAGTACTTTAACAGGGCTGGAAGACAAGAAGTTTTTAGAATCAAAAATGATCTAGACTTTATTTTCCTGAATATGTCCCAAACGTGTCTGTCAGAATCAACAGACAGGCAACATGTGAAGTTCATGACATTTTGATTCTTATTGGTTATTTGTTCTTCTTTGTGTCCAATCAGGTGTCAACTCTGGATGGTGTGCTGGAGGTTCGCAACGAGCACTTCTGGACTGTTGGCTTTGGATCTCTGGTACGTTTCTCAGCCACAGAACTATAATCTTGAGAATCCATCTTGCTCTTCTCTCTATGTGTTTGGGGCTGGTACAGTGGTACTAGACTAATCAGCGTCCTTTGAGGAAGTACTCGCAGCTACGGGGGTGGGTGCTAGCTCTGACGCAGGACAAGACACTGTTCATTAAACAACAATAGCAGCTGCTAAAGAGGTTAGGGTTATATCAGAACTTGAGAGAAAGTCTGTCTCTTCTTAAGAGCTCCAGGACGCTTACTCCTAAAGTACCCAGAAACAAAAATGCTGCGTTAATGGTGGCCATGGTGTTGAAAGTTGCGCTCGGTAGGCGTGCTAAGTGCTGAGATAATCACCCCCATCCTGATGAAAACGCCTATGGTGCACTAGATGAATATGTGGTACACTAAGGGTCCCAGTTTGGGGGTTTGAATACGCTCACCCTAGTCAGTTAGTTTGTAGTAATTTGATCAACTTTATTCAAGAAAATGCCCCCTGTGAAGCAAGATATAATGGGCAGCAAATTCTATAACACATTTCCAATTAACATGCAACCAGCACACACAGACACAGTAGAAACACTTTCTAGATTTCTCTCCCTCCCCCTTCTTCCCTCCTTCGTCTCGTTCATCCCTCTCTGTCATTCGTTGGTTCAGCGTGACGATCTGAAGGGATTTGTTCACCCAGACGAAAAGAAGGAACAAGTCATTCATGCGGAGATTTTCTCTCTCTCTCTCTCTCTCTCTCTCTCTCTCTCTTCTCCAGTTTTTGGAGGGAACACTGTTGTTGTTGTTTGTGTTGAGTTGTCGTCGTCTGTGTTGCACGTTGTTGTAGCGACAGCAAACAAGCCCAGCTGGCTTTCCTTGGAAACACACACACACACACACACACACACACACACACACACACACACACACACACACACACACACACACACACACACAAACATCTCTCAGAAACACACTCTGCTGTGAGAATGGAATACAAATTATTAATTGGGACTAATTAAACTGAACTGTTGTTTACCCTGAGGGTTAATTCTTGATGGAAGTTGCAGTTTGACTTCTCAACATAAGGAACACTTTCTGTGAGGCTTATTCTGTGCCCACCTCCTACAAGGCTGAAAACTTCAAAAACACCAGCTAAATGGACCTTGTATTGAGGATTTTTTGCCAAACTGTTTTTATGTTTTTTAATTTTGGGAAGTCTTTCCATTATTTAATTGTGGTGGTAGAGATACAGACAGGAAAGTGAGAGGTGTATAATATGCACTTAACACGTTTGGGATGCACATTTTCAGCAGCTTTCATAATGAATCAACCACAATAATGTGAATTAAAGTAAATAGGTAAAGGAAAAGGAAAGAACGTTCTGTACGTGGAGGTCAAATGAGGAAAGAACACACACAGAGATAACACTCAACATTCAGGACACTTAAAGACAAACTCATTCCTCTTTTAACCGTCACTTGGGTTTATCACATTGGTTTTATGTAAGAATCTGTGTACATGGTTGTACCCAAATATAGCACTTGAATATTTCACAGGGTTTTAAAGTCCTGATTTTTGGTATTTTTTGACGTCATGGCCTCAATATTTCTGCGTGTGAGACATCTATTGTTTATGAAACAGTGAATCTGTAGAATGACGTGGCAAGTGTGTGACGTTATGCAAATGAATCCCTCTGTCTCCTTTTTTAAATCACTGATGTTAGTCTTAGTCACTGTGTGTGTGTGTGTGTGTGTGTGTGTGTGTGTGTGTGTGTGTGTGTGTGTGTGTGTGTGTGTGTGTGTGTGTGTGTGTGTGTGTGTGTGTGTGTGTTTCTAGGTAGCAGTTGTACTTCCGACTGCCTGCAGGTGGAGCAGCGTCTTCTGTTTACCTCAGCTTTGATGCAGTGTTTATTGTTGTTTTTATTTATGTTATCGATGTTGTTGTCACTGATGTTGCTGCAGTTACACAACTGTTGGTTGTTGGCCCACTGCTAACAGAGCAGCTGTCCAAACTCATTTGACCCTCTGACTGCACTTCTGCCCCACGGTGTGTGTGTGTGTGTGTGTGTGTGTGTGTGTGTGTGTGTGTGTGTGTGTGTGTGTGTGTGTGTGTGTGTGTGTGTGTGTGTGTGTGTGTGTGTGTGTGTGTGTGTGTGTGTGTGTGTGTGTGTGTGTGTGTGTGTGTGTGTGTGTGTGTGTCTGTTCTGTCCTTTTGAGGTCTGAATATTCCCATGAGGATGGTAAAATTAGCAAACAAGGACAAAATGAAGAACTCAGTTTAGTGTTTTAAGGTCAGATTTAGAAGTTAGAGGCTGAATGTTGAGGTGAGGCGAGCTGTGATGAAGGTCATTGAGTCTTTTTGATTTTAGTTTATTTAACCAGCTGCTGGACGGTTTGTTCTTTTAAAAAAGCAGCATCGTGGCTTAACAACTGAACTGCAATAAAATCCAGTCTGATGGATCGGAAGTGAGCATGCAGCTCTTCATACATGGTGCAACAATTGGATTTTCATGCTTTCAGCAAATATTTGCTGCATCATTCAGTTCCATTCTCTTCCCTTTCAAAACCTCTACACAGGAGATGTTTCAGCTGTGTTTTTCAGTCGTCCATCTGGTGTCTTGACGGAACAGGTTTGCGTCTATTGTAATCGATCCAGCTTTCTACAGAGGCTACGTATTTTTACGTTTCAGGTCTATTTTCTTCTGTTTTATGTGCGCTACTCGAGTGATTGTGTGTTGGGCTCTGAGTGATGCCAATACGTGGGTGACCTACACTGAAAACTGTGCCTGAATGCATCCAGAATTAAAACTTTCAGAGACAAAAATGTGTGAAAAACATAATAATTTGTTGGAACAGTGTTTGTTTTGGAAAGCACTTTGTAATTATTGCTGTGAAAGTATCTAAATGTGAAGCCATATTTTATTAATTTACCTCTTCCTGCCTCATACCCCTTCACTGCCCTCCCTGCCCCTCTGTACCTTTGTGTTCCAGGCCGGCTCTGCCCACGTTCGCATCCGCCGGGACGCCAACGAGCAGCTGGTTCTGGCTCACGTCACCAACCGGCTGCTGCCGCTCGTCTCCACGCTGACGGTCCAGATCTTCAAAGATGACTGGACCAGACCGCTCCTCACCGGGGCCCTCTCCTCCTCCGCCTCTATTGCCCCTCTGGGTCCTGCTGAAGGCTACGCCGCCCTCTCCTCCTCCTCTCTGCCTCCTATGCTGATGTCCTCAGGAGGAGAGCTAGACCCGCTGACATCTACGCCCGCCAAACCCAGCAGCCCCCCTCCAGAGTTTGCCTTCGACACACCAGGGAGAAATGTGCAGCCGGTGGTCCTCCCTGCCCCGGGGCACCACGCCCACAGGCCTTACGGAGGCCTGGGACTCCCCTACGGAGCGCCTCCCTACACAGGGATGATGAACCAGGGCCTGGCACGGCCCGGCGGCGGGCTGGGACTCGGTGTGCAGGGTCTGGGGGCGGGGTACGGATTGGGTGTGAGCGGGAGCGGGGTGCCTTCCTCTCAGAGCTACAGAACTGCCTTCGGAGGGTCGACGGCACCACTCCGGTTCGGAACCGGCAACCCTCTGGCTTCACAGTCGCAGTACAGACAATACAGACCCTGATTGTGCCGGGCCAGAACTCTTCTTCTGTAGAGGTGATGAAGGTCGGTTTCTCCACACCTCAGTTCAGATATTTGAAACTCTGATAAGATTTACGGACGGCTGACAACAACATTTACTCCCAGTGTGACAACAAGATGATAACTTTAGAAGGCGAAGCTTTGTCAACTCTTGTAGTGTGAGCCCCCCAACTTTAGAAGAGAGATGGTGAGTGTGTTGTGGTATTTATTTTATCAACAAGGGGACCAAAAGGTTGACTTGAATTTGGGATGTTTGAGTCAGTTTTTTTAATCCAGATTTTGGGAAACAGCGCCAGTGTGGGGCTGACTGTAAGAGAGCAGGGTGTCCGTACTTATTACGTTGTATGTTTATTTTGTAAGAATAAAGGCTGCGAGGAAATGTCATCAAATAGCATTCCAGGTGAGAGGAAATAAAGTCTTGAATTGAATTAAATTCCTGCGTTATATTTTAGATTTCAGAGTCAGGAGGTGAAAGGTCAGAGGCGACAACAGACTGATGATATCTAGTGTCCTATGAATGATAAGACAAAGGGAGGTATGAAGACAGCGTATTGGACCAAACTGACGGAGAAGATTTAGAAAACATCTTTTTTTTTTCTGTCCAGCTGAAAATCATTGAGACATCTGCTCTAATGTGTTGCCATAATGTGTCCTGAGTGTTTTACGCCCACACGACCTGAATTCAAACATGAAATATCATCTTTAAAACCAAAACAGCATGATTGTTTTCATTTGTGAGTAAAAGTCTTCAGTTCGCTCCTCCTCTGTTGTGGTTCCAGGCCAGCCTCATTTCCCAAATCACATTTGTATATTTCCCTGTCCACTTATTGGTAATTGAATTGAACTTTTTTTCCTCTGCTCTGAAGTTCGTCAGTACAAACATTAAATGTTTTGACTACAGAACTGCTGCTGCCATTAAAACAAAGTACTGTACAGTTTGTCACCTTGAGGAACACATGAAAAACAAAATAGTATATGTCTTCTTGTGTAGGGCTAACACTTAATTATATCATTTGCACATTATTTTTTTATACGACGTTCAATAATTTAGTCTCTGATATGTAAGAAAGTGAAGAAAAATACCATTGCGGTTTTCTCAAACTCTATTTGACACAAGATTTTCATTTTAAAGAGTAACTAAACCCCCAAACCACTTAGCTGAAAAGCTCCATATATGGGTATTTAGTAGATTGCAGCCTGTCAGTCTCCCCTTTACTATTACTACCCACTGCTGGCACAAATGTACAACAGGTGGCATAATCTTATCATTTAGCAGGATATAACCTAAACCTTTTCAATTGCCAACTGTTGACTGTTCATACTGTAATTCATCAGTAATGTCTGTTAGATTATAATCGTGTGGAAACCACTATTTAAACTCACCTGAAGAGCCATTCTCCAGAACCATGACTCGTAAGGTAATGTCTTTTTGTGCCTTTATAGTTTATTATCTCTGGGCCGGCATGCTGGTAATCGGACAGTGTTGTGAAGCAGTGCAGGGAGGTGTGTGTGTTTAGCTGACACCGGAGAGTTAGCCTCTCTGAGCCGTAAAGCTAACTTTACAACACAGGTACCACACAGAAACTTCCAGAAACTTCCAGAAACTTCCAAACAGCTCTAAATGTGCTTCTAGTGTCAAAGCTCCTGGCTGGTTAGCCCGGTTAGCTCTGACTACCGGCAGCTGTACTCCTGCTACACTGAGTGGTACTCTGTCACTCTGGGCAGTGTTACCTCCTGCACCACACGCTTTATATGAAATTACAAGACAAATGATTTTCTGCTGCATTTTATTGTTGTTTATTGAATAGGTTGCTGGGATGGAGAGAGCTAGCAGAATTTAGAGGTTTAGTTACACTTTAGTTTCATAAATGTAGAAGAAATGGCGACTCTTTACATTTGATAAACTGGAACCAACACATTTCTTTGTGGTTTTTTTTCCTGAACAATTCATCAGATACCAAAATATTCGCAGATTCGCAGACTAATTGTTGCAGCTCTCAGTGCGTGTCTTGCTGACAAATTATCGGCAGAATCTTCCCTTAAAAACAAACATTATCAAGTTAGGAAACATTAGTGGTTTTCCTCCATGTGGTCAGCAGAAGCTCTGCAGACATTTGCCTCTTCAGACTCTTTTACAGCCTCAAAAAAAAAGCCAGATTTAGAGGTCTGGGAAGAAAGGTTTGATGGAGCCTGTGAGGGAGTAGAATTGAACGGGTCTGATTTTCATGAAGGGGACGATTTCATGTACTCTACTGGGAGTGAATATTTGACTGGGAGGATGAGATTTTTTTTCTTTTTATTTATGTTTTTAATCTGAATTCGGGGCTGAGTGTTATAAAACTTTAACTCCTTGTTCATTCCTTATAGGCTGTCTTTCTCCCATTTAGAGAATCAAACCGCCCTTAAACATGGATAAAATGTTGAATGGTTGCATCAGAGCTGAGAAATCAATATGGAGAATAAACAATATTACGGTATAACACAGAACAGGCAAACGTGCAGTAACATGGCAACTTTATAGAATAAACAGTATTGTTGGAAAACCTTCAATCGGACACTGCACCCTCATGAGACATATTCCCTGTTTATTTAAAAATACCGACTGGGACTGTTATTTAAAACAGGTCATGAGATTTGATACTTTTTCTCATCATTTCTTCATCTGTTGTATCTCAGCCGTCACCTGCTGGCTTTAAACAAATCTGTAACATGGACTCAAGTTGAAAAGTAGGAATGTCCTGGTCTTGTGTGCTGTGTTGGTTTGTTTTCTGAGGTTGGAAGTCAAAAAACAAAAACACATAGTGGATTAATTTGGCATTAAATCAGGAACCAAACAGAACAAACACCTTACATCCTGTTTTTAATTGGATCTGAAATGTAATACTGATGTCTCTATATGACCCTCATAAACAGACCATACCATCAGTGAGAAGATTGGCTATCATGCATTAGTCTTAATGCCTGCCACTGGGTCAGATTCGGTCGGATTCCCCTTGAAATCAATAAACGAAGCTGTAGAAACACTACCACTGTTGTTCACAGGGGCTGCCAGAATCGACACAAAATGGACATTTCTTCTAAGGGGTTTAAAGAGCAAAGAAGGGGAACTTTAACTTGTCCACATTGTAATTTATAATTAGAGGCAGTTAACGCAGATGAAGGTTTGACTTTATTGAGCCTTCATAGTGTCGATCTCACACTGTGATAAATTCGTTATAGGAGCGAGGGAGATACGGGCTGTTCTTTCCTCCACATTGTGTCCAAACCAGTGCCCTTATTGTTTTTAATCCAAAGGAAAGTCAGTTGTCTCTGTGTAATCCATTTGCTTCTCCAGGCGTCACTGATCTACATTAGTGTATGAGTCTTTCGCTCCCTCAAGGCTTTCTGGGAAACCTGTTCTCCTCATTGTCGCTGGCGTGAACTGGTGACTTTCTGACCCTACAGCATCTGTTGTAAAGATGATACTCATTTCCATTACAGCACTGACAAACAAGTTCTTCAATTGTGGTACAGTATAAAAGTAAATTAATGATTTATTACCTACAGTTGTTTTTAAAATCAAACTTCTTCTACTGCAAGAAACCCTGAGAATCCAGAGAAAAGAGTGTAAATCTTTAATCCTGTTGTATAAGTCAGGGGTTCCCAAACTTTTCCATGCCAAGGCCGGCCACACACTCTTGCAAGATCTTTAAAAAACCCACAGACAGCAAATGTAAAAAAAAAAAAACTTTCTGAATATATTTCCTTACTTTTATTAATGCACTATTAATTACAACATTGTGTGAGTGTCTGAGAGATCTGGTTGTCAGGTCTTTTCTTTTTCACAAACATGTCCACTTTTTGTGACTTAGAACTTTTGACATGTTATATATTCTAAATTATGTTAAAACAACTAAACAACACAATCCTAAAAACAAAAGCACATATCTTCACAAGTAACGAGATAATCACCCTGTTATCACAAGAAAACCAACGGTTGTTTCCTTTTTATTCATAATGCTTATCAGAAGTCAGGAGTGCTATCCCAGCATGCATAGTTGGCATATTATAGATGTAGCATTGGTTCAACATAATGGACAATGCATGGAGGAATGACAGACAACGTGGAAGTTAACATTCATTTTCTCACTGACCAGCAGCCAGGATAAAGAGCATGAAAAGAATCTTTGAGCTCATTTAATAAGTCTCCATCTTCTCCTGATATATTTTGTCACTATATTACGTCACATTGCTGGACAATTAATATCTGAAATGAACTCTCAGATGTTCATTCTGGGAACAACTCTTTTAAGTTGAGTAATGAATCCTCCCCGACAGTCATGATACTGATCTTGAACACTGAAATCAGGAGAGATAAAATGAACCTCATTTTCAAGTTCTCCATAATTATCCAATTTTAAAAAAGCTATTTTCTCCCGATGAATTATCTCACTGTCTCAGGAAATTGGATTTTTTTTTCTGCATTAAACGGCATTAAAAAAAATAATGGCAAGCACAGCATTTCTAGGCTTCCGTACATATGTCCCTCCTTCATTTGCCTTTCCTTCATTCTTTGGCTCTTTAGCTGCTGTGTCACTGTGTTTGTGCTGCTGATCAGCTAATGTACAACTAATATGCATTTTTACAGCTTTTTCTCCTAAAATAACTCTTATGTAAAGTAAAGTAAAGTTGTGGCCAGACAGACAAACAATGATCTGACACTCTATAAAGCTCTGTAAAGCAGAGGAAGCTGACGATTCAGCAATATTATCTACCAGAGACACCAAATACATTTTCATTTCATTCATTGTTAATATTAAAATACAGATTATAGCCACATTAAAGAGTAATTAAGTGTCATTTGACTGTGGTATTGCTGCATTCACTTGACTTCTGTTAACAGAGAGAAAACACCAAAGCATTAATAAAAAGCAAACTGCGTCAGACTCATTTGGACTCTTTTGGCAAACGGCACAAACCCAACAATGTTCCTTCTCTTGCATTCTATTTTAGCCACACGCTGCACTGCTTGCATAATAATGTATGACACACTTTAGCAACTTTGCAGCGTCTGGTCATTATTTTGTCCCCTGCAATCATGTTATTCTTTTGGCCCACAGTTCGTCGCCCTCGCATCCTCATCAGCCCAGAAAATATTCAAATGAATGAGCGGCGCTGCGGGCCGCCGCGTGAGGTTGAAGTGAGGAGACAGCTTAGAGTCCGGCAGAGTCGCAATGTGTTAGGAGGCCAACAGACTCCTGACCCCATTACTGAAAGACCCGCCTGGTCTCCAAAAACCACTAATAGGCCCAAGTTCCCCCTTTTTTTCCGGACCAGTACTCATTGATAACTGGGTTTGTTTGAAATCTAAAGATGCAGCGACTGTAGAAGTGCCAAACATTACCAGAGGCTCACTGAAAAACCCACTTTAACTTCTGCAAAAGAAATGAAAGCCCAGGTCGGGGTCTGGTGACATTCAGTGTTTCTCATCAGAACACACTAGGATTCCTCAAGCCCTCACAAATATGTTGAATGCATGTCCTTCCACATAAAACATTTGCAAAGCAGTTTAAAAAGATCTTTAATTGTCTATTTGTATAGGGCAGGACAGGACAGCAAATACACAAAAGTTCAAAACACAAACCAACAATAAGTTGCATTAAAGCAAAATACAATAGACACACTGACAGAACAATACAGGACACAAAATAATACATTAAAGCACCATAAAACAG